GTTCAAAGTGGGAATTGCAAACAACTACTAGCATTTTAGTAAAAGGTCTTATTTAGTGGCTCGGGCAAAATTATGAAAGTATCATTCTTTGTTAAGAGTAATGTTGTCAGATTCGTTTCGGAGTCTTTTTCAATTTGGTGAAAAAAATAAAGCAATTCAGTGCTTTGATCGATTTGGGGGAAGATTTTATACTTTTTTTAAAAAATTAATATAATTAAATTAGATATTTATATATATATAATATAAAAATAATAAAAAAATTTTAAAAAAATACTTTTATATCGGTATTTCTTTTTTGACCGTAGCAGCCCGAAGCTTCGACCGAAGCAGCCTAAATCGAACTGAAGTAACATGATTACGCTTCGCTTCGCTTCAGTTTATGCTTAAAATCTGCAGGCTTCGGCCTCTTCAGCCGAAACGAAGTGAATTTGATAACATTGATTTAGAGTTGAGAATATGAACTATCAAATGATCAAAATACCATTTTGTTGTTCAAGTTGGCAAAGCAGAACAGATGATATTTTCATTAATTGATAGTTATGTGTTTCGAGCTCTTAACAATTGAAGAAATTTATATTCGGATGAAATTTCTATAGGGCCTAGGCTTTATAAAAGCAAAATAAAGCTTCACCTCAAATCTTCACCTGGAAAGCACTTTGGGCATCAGAAATCTTCATGATGGCTCTATAATCAATTCCAATACTAACTACAAATTTGAAACTAAAAAAATAGTCAAATCTTGCGGATCTGTTAACTCTTATTTTTAAGGGGAAACGGATGATCTATAGATGATTTTGTGCAATCTATATTATTTTTAGAACTTGAAATCCTAATTTTTTTTCACAACCATAATGTTCAAGCTAAGATGATCGATTTGAAGGTATTTCAACACTTGAATTGCAATTTTTTAGTTATGAGGTAAGGCTTTATGGTGCTGCAGCCCTATCAAATCATTTTCTTTTATGTTATTTTATCGAACCACTTAAAAAAATTACCAAAAATATCCTTAACTAGTCAGAGTCTACAACCTCAAATACAAGTAATTAGAGAATTGTTAAACAAACTTTTTAGAAAAATGCCTTTATGAGAGGACATTTAAAAGGGAAATATTTGAGACCTTTGTTAATATTTCTTTCTTCATTTCAAATCAATGATAGACCTGGGGTCCAATTAGTTTGTTGTTCTGTTTAGTCTATGTCAAAGTCTCAAAGATGAAAGGTCTCACTAGATAATTCCTCTTCTTTATTAACTTTTTTTTAACCAAAGCCAAACCGCCACTTCTTTTTGAACTTGTTTTTAACCAAAGACCATTAGTATGCTCCTGTGCGAGTATACTGTACAATAATTCTCTCTAGCAGCAAAATAGCTGCGTAAGAGAATTTATTAGATCCGAAATTTTAAGATCTATCTAAATATCACTAGATGATTATTTAAAAAAAAAAAGATTTAGAGTTCTTGAACAACTAGATCTCATGTTCATTCTTGGGTGTCATCTTGTTTAGGGACATAGAGAATGCAAAGTTATTTATTTATTTCCTTCTTTCTGGTCAGTCATTATATTTCAGAGATTACATCTCCAAATTTCGGAGTTCATAAAATAGTTTGAGTTTTGTCCAAGGGAGCAAATGGACAGTATGCAGAATGGGAGCATGAAACCTTACGCTAATTACAAACTTCATTCATATCAACATGACAGTTGGATTAAAAAGTAGTGGGGAAAATTGACGAAGTGATTGTAAAAGACGAAGTAATGATAAATATTAAAGGAAAAATTACTAAAAACCCCCTAAAATATACTTTTTTGGCACTACTCCCACCCTAAACTTTTCTTACTTCTTTTTCTCAAAAACAATTTCTTCTAACTAATACCTCCCAACTCAAAAAGTGATATCTTTTTTTTACGAAAATACTCCTTCCAGTACCTTCATTGTACGAACAAATCATTTGGACAGATCCCAATAATATTTTTGCCGGATCGCGGTTATTATTTGCCGGACTTACGATAAATGTCGGACTGCATTTCTAAAATGCTGGACTACTTCTTTAGACAGTGATACGCCGAACCATAGACTACTAACGCCAGACCACCCTACTCATGTATCTAAAGTGCTGGACTGAGACCATGAAATGTTGGACTTACGTCTCCAGTAGTAAAATCACGGGATCGAAGTTCTGTAATGCTAGACTGCGAGTAAGATATTGCCAGACTGCATTCTCCTAGTGCTGAATAGATCGACCATAACGCCGGAGCGAAGCTGTGAAACACCAAACTTAACATCATTCTAGAAACACATGTTGAACCGCACATTGCAAACGCCAGACTGACCCCATTCCAGTAAGTAAATTGCTGGAGCACTACTTCAAATAGCCGGATTGCCCACATTACAGTAAACATATCGCCGGACAACGCACATACACTGCCGGACAACTGCATCAAAACGTCGGAGTGATTTTATTACAATGAGCAAAAAGCAAGACCGCACCCACAAAATGCTAGACTACCTACACAAATGTCGGATCGACGGTTACAAAATGTCGGACTGCCTATGCAAACGCCCTTTTTAAGGTAGAAGTTAAAAAGGGGGGGTAATTTTTTCTTTATTTCTATTTTTTTTAGGTTGAGGGGGTAATAGTTAAAAAATATGGTTTTTGAGAAAATGATGTGAGAAAAATTTAGCGTGTGAGTAGAGTGTCAGAAAGTATATTTTAGGGAGTTGTCAACAATTTTCGCAATATTAAAATTGAAGTCACGCTAAGTTTCTCTCACATGGAAAGGTATTATAAATTTGCCTATGAAATGAATTTGATTCAAAAGCCATTATACCTAAATAATTAAAGGAAAAAAAAACAGGATTTCAAGCTTTAAAAATATGGTTAATGTAATAAATTATCTAAACATTTATTTCGCCTTAAAAATAAGTATTCATAGATCCATAAGATCTATACTATTTTTTTAATTTCAAATTTTATTGTTGATGTTGAAAATTGTTTTTAGAGCCATTATGGAGATTTTTATTGCCGAAAGTGTTTCTTGGACAAGGATTTGAAAAGAAAATCTAGTCTTATAGAAATCTCATTAAAGTGTTTTGCCATACGCCATGCTATACACAATTGGATACGTGTGGTATGTAGTGCACCACAAGAGCATCAACCACCCTCACCTTCCACAAGCTCTCTGATGAAGGATGGGGATAGTTATAGATCTCCACCATCTATCATCAACTAAGGGCAACAAATGCTCCATTGTCTGATACACAGGCTTTGTGTATGGTATACCGGCCTCATTAACTTTATCATACATTTCTAATGAAATAATGAATGGTGATGGAGAGAGTGGGACACACCACAAGGCGAGATCATTTACCGTGAGACTCTCTCTCTATTACAAACATCAATTTTTTTTTACCTCCTGAAGTTTTCTTTTGTTATAAAATTTTAGGATCCACTAAAAAAAATATGGCATAGATTATTGTCGAAAATCAAATTTAGATTTTTTTTTTTTTTTGGCCGTTCAATTGTAGGGATTCAACTTGAGATGTAGCATTGCTTGATATCAACAACTAGCCACTCAAGGCCTAAACCCAATTCTTAAAACAAATTTGGATTTTATGAACCATAAAATTGAGATTCTTTTATGTAGGTTTAAAATTTGATGATAAAGTTATTCACTTATGGTTTAAAATTTGATAGTTCAAATTTAGGTTGTTCATTCTTCTAAGCATGTCTCAAACATTTTAGTGCCAAAAAATAAACAGCCTGAAAAGACAGATAGGTAGAATGATCGGCCACCCTCGGTCTTGATTCGAATCAATAATCTAGATCATTCTCGGATCGTCCAGATCGCGATCCAGAAAAAAAAATAAAAAAAAATTAATAAATTAAAATAAAGGTTTATTGGGTAGGGATTTAGGGAGGATTAAGGACAGAGGAAAATAAAAAATAAATAATGAAAGAGAGTTTTGAGGATGGAACCAATTCAGCCCCGATGGATTTTGCATTCAATACAGTGATCAAAAAATGAGCACAAGATCTTAACCTAATAAAATAGGATGAGATTTTTATAAGGTCTAAGCTTTATGAAAACAAAATAAAGCTGCACATTAAATCTTCATTTAAAAAGTACTTTCGGCGACGAAAATCTCTATGATGGTTTTAAAATCAACTTCCAATATCATAAAAAAATAATACAAACCTTGCAGATATGTGAACATTTATTTTTTGAACAAAATAAACGGTCTAGATAATTTGTTACAATATACACTAGTTTTAGAGCTTAAAATCCTATTTTTTTCACAACGATAATGTTCAAGACGATATGATACATGCAAAGGATGCTTGACGTGCGATTTTTTAATGAGCTAGGAGGTGAGGATGTATTTATTTTGATAGAACTGCAACACTATCAATCCATTTTCCTAAAAAACAAAGGGTAAAGTTTCAATAGAGCCTAGGCTTTATGACGACAAAATTAAGCCTCACCTCAAATCCTCTTATGGAAAGCACTTGTGGCATCGAAAATCTCCATGATGGCTCTAAAATAAAATTTGAAACTTAAACAATATTATAGATTTTACGTATATGTGAACACTTATTTTTAGGATGAATGGACGGTTTAGATTATTTGTTTCAATACATACTATTTTTAAAATTTAAAATTCTAATTTTTTTCACAACTATAATGTTCAAGTTGAGATTGTCGATTTAAATGTCAATTTTCGATGAGTTATGAGGTGGCGGTTTATTTATACCGATATCAAACCATTTTCCTGAATTAAAAGTGCAAGAGAAGTGGAATATGCTTCGGAGAGGGCGGCAGCGAAACATCAATGGTGCATGAGACGCTGATAAATCTGCCGTCCATAGAGAAACGTGACACTATCTACGGCCAGATTAAATACACGTGTATGATATCTTTTCGAACACGTGCGTTCCGGAAGTTCATGTGAAAGCAGGAAAGCAATGTTTGATTATGCGTTGATTGTGTAGATAAATACTCTCCTACCCACCGCTTCAACCCCCTCTTCTCGACCCCTCCTCCAGTGGACACTTTCTCTCTCATCCGACGAGAACCGCTTCTCTTTCTCTCTCTAACTCCTGCTATAGCACCTGCTTCCAGAGATATTTATCACTTTAAAGGTACTTTCTCTCTCTCTAAGTCATGTATTATCTTGCTCTTTCTACAAATGTATTTCATCTTCTGAATCTATTTTTTTGATCATTATTTTCTCTGAATCTTTTGTTGTTTTTGAGCATGCTTTCTTTGCGATCCACAAAAATACAGGTTTTCTTCGTCTCCCATCTTGTTATTTTTTCTTCTTGGGATTGCTTCCTTCTCTTACTTTCCTAAATGGGTATTTCGTTCAATAGGGTTTCAGTTTCTGATGCGTTAGCTTGTTGTCATTCATCCATTGCTCTTCCTTTTTGTGGTTAAAAGTAATGCTGTTTTTTTCTTTCTTGGCTCCAAGTTTGTGGGATGCCATTATCACTTAAGTTTGTGGCTTTGTAATTACTATTTCTGTTGATACAAGTTATCTTGTTCCTCAAAAAATATCCTGTTAAGTGATCTTTTGGCATTGGTCGGTTTTAGTTTTTGTGGTTCTTTGACCTAGCTTCTTTAGTTAGTCTAACAAGTTTCTCTTTTGAATGGGGATGAGTTTCTCTTTCGAATGGGGATGTGTTTTCTGTTATTTATGGTTTCCATGAAGCAGCAACTTCATATTAGTCACTAACTCAAAAATTTCATCTTGTTAGCATAAATGCGAACAAGAAATATTCCTGTGGCTTCGATTTGAGCGATGTTCTTGTGTCGCTGTCTTTTTTGGCGAATCCTCAGAGCCATTAACGTTATGTCCTTCTGTTTTGAGAGGGTTACAGATAAAATAATCAGTTATTCTTCTAGACGCTTTTCATCAATCCAAAAAAGTGAGATAATTCAATCTGACTCAATACGAGAACTAAGCCCTTTACTTTTTTTATAAGAAGTATAACTTATTATTGTTCGTTTGTTGTGGGAATTAGGGTTTCATCAGCTTGATCTTTGAAAAGGAGGATAAAGGAGAGAGAAGATGGTGTCCGATGCTAGCAAGAAGAAGGCAGCTGCCAAGAAGGCTGCTGCTGCCGCGAAGCGAGGAGGTAAGTCTGGGGCTGGGGCATCAAAGGCTGCCGAGGCTCAGAATGGAGTTGATAAGTTGGCCAATGGAGTTGGTGGGATTCATTTATCTGATCGCACTTGCACTGGAGTTCTTTGTTCACACCCCCTATCCCGAGATATCCATGTTAGTAGATTTATGGGCTTCTTTATTTGGCTTATTTGTTTCTTCTTTTAATTAGCCTCTCATGGCTGTTGTGATATCATCTGGAGTAATTGAAATTGCTTTCATAATTTTATATGATAATATTTTAAGGGTTTAATGGTGATGCAACTTGTTATTACTGTCTACTATTTATGCTGAATATCTTATAGCTTAGTGCTTTGATGCTTGATATTTAATGATCACGCTTACATCTACTGGTTCAACACTTATGTGGGGAGTATGTGGTTTCCTTGTCTCTGCAAGTATCTTCATTGCTTTAGTCTTTCCTCATATGCAGCCACATGATGAATTTGAAGGACCATGAAGGGTGGTTTGTATGTGTTGAACATTGTTGGTGCTCATCTCTTGCTCTGCCTGTCTTGTCTCTAGGCATTGTTTTTTATTTTCAATAATTCCTTCTTGTCATGTGGAATACATATTTTTTATCCATACCACTCACTTCAGATTTGTAATGAGAGTTTTAAGTTCATAATGTATTGTATGTGTTTTGTAATATTTCTCATTTCATGCTTCCTATTGCTTATGTTTTAAAGTAATCTTCAGTAGGAAATGTGTTTTCTTGGGTTATGGTATAACTTGTTTCATAGGTTTTCGTTTTTTATATCTTCCCATGATTAAAAAAGAAAGGATAAAAGTTCTGCGGTAACTTTTGCTTTGGTTCAAGACGCACACGTTTCACTTTCTTATGATCCAAACTCACGTATATGCATTTTTTTGGTGTTAATTTTTTATTGTTTTGCATTTATAGGTATTCTAACTATTTTTTTTCATGCAAATATATACACATGAATGTTGAAACATGTCCAAAACTTCAAACCATTGAAAATTTAATGAAAAACATAAACAAATCCATAGTGTATTAGTTCCAACTCTCCAATCCATACTCCATAGTGGCATACAATAATAGCCTCGCTAGCATCACAAAGAAAATTTAAATAAAAAAGGGTAAGCTTTTGGATGCTTCTTCAAACCTCTCAATTTTTTTCTATTCAAAGAAATTTGCGAAATCAGTTGATTTGGGGTGCTTCTAGGGTTTAGACTTAGAGTTTTTTTCTGCTTTGGAGGGTTCAGAACTGGGTGCTGGGAGCTTGCTTAGGTGGTCGCCTAGGCTGGTTTTTTGGGCACCCAGAGAGGGCCCCGCAAGCCCAGGCATGCGGCCTAGGGCCCTTTGGATGCCTAGGTGCGGGGTGGGGCTTTTTTTGGAACAGTGATACTTATCAAAATTTGTATGCATTGAACAACATTATCGTCAAACAATATTATCCTCACATAACAGCCCTCAACAATGGGAGATGTCAATTGGCCCCCATACTGCCCTATATTTGTTTAGGTGACCAGAAACCGTATTGTAATTAACGTTGATATGTTCATTAAGTTGCACTCCGAAGAATCCACATGGCTTTGACTTCCATTATGGATTTGCTACTTGAATGGTTTGTTTGAAACATTGGATCAAGTGCTTTCCAAGAGGTTTACTTGATTATTAGCTTTTATGCTTCTCTCTGAGTTTTCAAGTTTAAAGAAATTCACACTCAGCTATCCTTCTGGTATTTCCATTGGAAAGTTGTTTGGATGTTCTATGCAACACTTGATTGATGCCATTCTTGTTGCTTAGACAAGGCTTGCTCCATTTCTTACAAATGGAATCCTCGAAAGATTGTTTTTCATTTCTTAGATGGTTGGAATGGTAGCTATATTTGAGCCATGCAATGAGCAGTTCACAATCTTATTGTTGCCTCCAGTTCAATTTTGTTATCTTTAGCATCACTTGGACAGTGCTTGACATTTTCATGGCTTTTGTGGATGATCGCCATTTAATTTGCATACGAGTCTGTAATTTTTAAGGAAACTTGTTCACATTTTGGGAACTAACTGCAGCATGCTATAGTATTGATGCTCATAAAATTGGTGATTTGGGTATATGTCATGAATGCACAGTTTGTGTGCTTGTCCAAATAAGTATTTTGGAACGCAACTCTATGGAATTGATTTTTTTATAAATGCATGGTTTCTAGAGATATTATTCAGTAATTTAACGGAGCTTCTAGGTATCTTTCTTATTAAAAAAAAAAAGGAAAAAGAGCTCTTAGGCTTAATGGCATCCATTAAGCAATTGCGAGGTTAGGATTTTTTTTTTGAAATATCATGCTGATGGATGTGTTAAGTGTGTGCTTTTATTCCCTGATAGAGCCATTCCATCAATGTATGGCCTTAAGGGAATTGTTCTTATATCATGTTTAAATTGTTTGGTGGAGACTGCAGCAGTTGGACAATTGGCAAGAATGTTAATTTCCAATTTTTATGACTACTTTTACTTTCTATGTAACCTCCAGGGTGATCCCGGTTATGAAGATCCATAACTCTTTGGAAAAATTAGTGATAGGATCTAAACCAAAGGGAGGCTTAAGAGATGAAACATCTTGCACCTTGACACTTGTGGCCTGCATTCTACGGTCACCTTCTGTTTGAGAAGTTGCTTTTGTTGAAACTCCCGTTGGTCCTCTAGGCTTAATGAAGTCCTCATCATTAGTTTGTATATACTTTCAGCTTTTATGGTTGTTCCTCAGTCTCTTCCCCTCTCTTTCCTAAGAGTTTCTCCTTTTCTGTTCTCAAAAAATTTCACTAATTTTATCCTAGTTTTGACGAAAACTTTTGCTCTATCCTCTCTGAATCTCATCTAAAATAGGTAGAGACTTGCCCCTTGGGGACTCATTTCTTTGTGTTACATTGAGGTACTTGTGTCCCATTTTTGACTTGGTCTCAAAATTCTATTTGAAAGGGGTGCTTATTGGCTAGCTCTGTTTTTAACCTCCGCACCACCTGGAGTATGTCGCAAAGTGTTGTATATAGCTCATTGGTCAGCATGCACTTGAAAATAACAAAAAAATGAAGTAGTTTTGTATAGCCCATGATTTTATTCATTCACTGACACCATTGGGAGCGCACTGTTTTTGTAGTTGTTGGAGTGTATCAGTTCACAGTCCCCATGTAGTATTTATTCTTTATAATACACAATGTGTATAAGTTTAACCATTCTCAAGAGAAAGATATTCTATATGAATTTAAACTACCGTTGTTCTGCTCCCATGCACATAATATATATGATGCTCCCTTTGTACCTAATTTGATGCGGATATCATTAGTCTCCTATATTAATATTCCTGGTTGAACTGGAAATCTTTATATTCTGCAACTGTTAAGCTCTAATTCTGAATTACTATCTTCACTTCTTGATGACTGCATCTTTTAAAAGATGCACACGTACATTGTCATTGTACATGTTTGGTCTAGTAGTATTTTACCTTCTCCCCTCTCCTAGAAGCCTGTCTTCCACTGTTATCATGAAGTAAGGCATCCCCTTTCGTCTTGTAGCTCTCAGCACTTGCCAGAACATCCTATGAGAATGGGTGCCATGATCAACTTGAGTAGTCATCTATCACTAATGTCTAAATAGTTATCTATTTCAACAAAATCACAGAGAGCTTTACATGTGCAAACTGCAAAGACCCCTCATAGAGAACTGACTCCCTGCTATTACTTGTAGATTTACCTCTGTTATGCAGTACCTTATATGTCCTATCGACTGTGACTTGAAACAGATTTTCATTTTTGCACGTGATTTTCTTGTTGCTTCACTGACGAATTCAAGTGCTAATTAGGGGCTAACATCAACCTCGCCCAAGTACGCATCCCCTTCGACCAAGCCATAAAAAATCTCCCTTGACTTACTTGGAGCCCTAACTCTATCATCTCAGTGAAGGTTGTGTCCTCCTCCAGTTTGCGTATCTGTCCATGCATATGCTTCACCTAGGTTCTCACTTGATAATTGATTGCCGAACCTCTTTGATGGACATCTAGAGTTCAGTGATCCAAAAAAAATTATATATATATATATATATATATATTTATTTTCATGGATGTGGTTGCAGTTTATTTATTAGGCTTAATTGTTTTAATTTATATGCTTCCCTCTTTTGCCTAAGAAAAAATTCCACTCATCCATCATTTGCTTCTTTGATTTCTCTGCTTGCACATGTCAATCTTAGATAGGTGATGGAAGTGTCGGACAGGATGACTCCATATTAAGTCCTGGAGCTGTAAGGTCCATTGAGTTTTTTTTAAGAAAAATAATCACAAAAAAAAAAATTGAGATCATTCCCTCCTCGAGCTGGCACTCTGGCTATCCTTCCAAATAGATTGTCATGGCATGAACTAATTTTGCATTTCCCTATTGGCATCCTATGTCTCACTTTGGTGGGCTTCCCCTGAGGGGATACTGAAGGTGTATTTCCTTTTATGCACACTTCCCTCCTCATGTGGATGATCCCACTGTGTTGTTTGCTACAGGCCAAGTACAAATATAAAAATTTATGAAGTATATAAAAAGTTTATATATGCAAATATCAAAACTCAAGAATAAAAAGAAAGATTGCTGTCCAACCCCACATCCTTACGGCAGTAGCAGATACTTTGGGGTGTAGGACTGAGGATTCGTCCTCCACCTCTTTGCATTGGAAACCCAAAGCTACCCAGTGGAGCCACATTGAGACAAATTTGACTGTAGATTGGTGGGATGGAAGGGAAAGTATTTGTCCCCTGCCAGTAGCCTCACCCTCATCAAAGCTACAGTCACCAACGTTCCCATCTTCCAGATGCCCTTGTTCCATATGCCAGCCTTGGTGACAGATCGCCTAGGCAACTCATTGATGAATTTCCCCTGGGCTGGTGAAGGTGGAAGAAAATGCCATCTTATTTCGTGGGCCAGGGTTTGCACACCCAAATCTCAAGGAGGATTGGGTATCCGCAACTTGAGGCATAAGAACCTGGCTCTGCTCAGTAAATGGTAGTGTCCTTCACTACTCAGGACAACCACCTTTGGCAGACCATAGCGTGGCACAAGTACCGCTGCGAAGCTCATGCCTGGCTCCCTACTACTAGGGTCGGCCCCATCATTTCACTGG